CATTTTGTGTCATGTAATTGATAATTATTACGTATTAGTTTATCCACTCAAAATGTTTATTTATATTCAATATGAAAAGTACAATTTCAATGAGTTATTCAAATAGAGTTATTTATTATATCCACCGACAAAACACAAAATACACTGATATGAGTTTTTAATAATTTAAGTAAGTTACTGTTTTATGGGGATTTTTTGTTTTTCATTATTCTATTTTTTAAAAAAATATTTTATTATATGTTATTTGTGTTATTTGCAATAAACAACGACTACTTTTTTCATGGTTTTAAAGGTAAAACCATTAAGGCATTATTTTACATTATTATAAAATATATATTATAAATCATTTGTATGATCAAAGAGTGTTAGACTTATTAAATGTATACCATAAAAATAAAAAGTGTGTTTTTTATAAATGTTACATCAAACCAGAACTTAAAATTTAGTATATATAAAATTAAATATTGTTTTATTTTTTATAATTTTTAGTTCATTTATTTTTAAACAAATAAGTAATAATTAATTATTAAATTAATTTCGATAAACGACAGTGTTTGATGGGAAACACCGATCACCAAGTGATATCATACTCAGTGGTATTGTCACACTACTTAGATTACCACATCCAATGAAACAATAATTTCCTATTGATGTAACACTAGATGGTATTATCACGCTACTTAGATTATCGCACCAACTGAAACAATATTCTTCAATTAATGACACGCCTGAAGGTATTGTCACACTGTTAAGACTACTACATTCACTGAAACAATTATAATTAATTGATGTGACACTCGAAGGAATTGTGACACTGCTAAGATTAATACATCCACTAAAACAACTATCACCAATATAAGTCACACTTGATGGTATTATCATGCTGCTTAAACTGCTACATTGACGGAAACACTGATCACCAAGTGATTTCACACTAAGTGGTATCGTAATACTGCTTAGATTAATACAATTACCAAAACTAAATTCATTCATATATATCACACCTAATGGTATTGTAACACTCGTTAGACTACTACATCCATAGAAACATTCTTCACCAATTGATATTACACTTGATGGAATGTTATTACCATATTTCTCTCTATTATTTTGAGTGTAAGTTACATTTTTAAACTCGATGTTTCGACTATTGTTTTTGTCAACAGTTTCGAAATCAACATCAAACCAAACAATAATTCGATATAACTCTCTCTTCAAAACACCTTTATTTTCACTATCTTCATTTTCTTCTGTGTTGATCATAAATCCGTTGCCAAAATTCTCGTCCGTTACATCCCACAAGTGAAGTGTCTCGATGTTTGGAAAGTTTCTAAATGTTTTGGAATTCAACGGAATTGGGTTGAAGTGAAACTTCTCCATGTTACCATTAAACTTCTTGCACACCAACTCTAAGTTAATAAAGTCTCTGATAGTCTTGAAATTCTTCGAGACTATCATAATGTGATAACCAGAAAGTTGAGACATTTTGATATTCTTAGTTATTCGTCGTTTAATTATTAATAAATACTTTTAATTGATTTTATTGGTAATTTTATAAATCATTTATCAATGAATGTTATTTAATAATACTATAAGAATGTTATATTTAAATAAAAAATAATAATTAAAATACAAATAACATATTTTGAAAACAAATGATAGAGAATTAATCATTTCTTTGATAGTTGTTTTGTTGTTATTTTCAAACAGGGCTGCAAACCTCAATTAAATAACCGTTTTTGAAAAAGAAAAAATGGCATTTTATCTTTTTGGATAAAATAAAAAATCCTATTCACAAAAGAATTTTTTTGCTCAATTTAAAGAAAATAATCACAATCAAAAACCCAACAAGATATAAATATCAATTTCGATCATATTTATTTAAATAAAAACAAATATAATATAATGTAAAATAACATTATTTAAGAATAGGGTGCGCAACCGTTGACAAAATATTTGCTGTTTGCCCGTTTTTTAACACAAAATTATACTTTGCTATAATCGTTTTATTTTTACAACTAATCGTGATCTTCAAAATATCGAAATCTGAAATATCATTTAAAAGATCTGCCATAACAACCAAAAAATCAAAGCTAAAAAACGAACCAAAAAATAATATTATTTTTGTTATTATGCATTTTAGTTTTATAATTTACATTTTTACTTTAAAACTTTAATGCCAAAATTATTAAGCATTTTAATTAAAAATCCAATATTTGCGCTTTTTTACCACCACGAATAAATGATATTATTTCAATGTTTTCAACAATTTCATATAATTGTTATATTGACTTTATATTATGACAACAACAATACTTTTCATTATTGTTGACATTTAAAAACAAAGAAAACAAGCCAAAATATAAGTAAAATAAGTATTTGGTATAACAGTACTCGTTAAACTACAACAACATTATAAATCTAGTTAAAAAGACAATTAAATGATATTGTTTCTTTCTTTTGTTTTATATTTTATATGCAAATATTTAGTTTGATCATTCACATGATATTATAAGTTGTTTGACAACTTTTTTGCGTTTTTCATGATTATTATTATTTTTTCAATAAATTTTCCGATTAAATTAATAAATATTTTATTGTTGAAGTGATAACCACCAAAACATGTGTCATATTTAAATTTTATCTACATTATGATACAATATTATCGATAGCAAATAAACAACACCAAATTTCTTTCCTTAATAATAATTATCAAATTTTCTATATTATTTTGTTTTTTGTTTATTTTTTTGCTCATTGATAATTATATACACATTAATAACTTCAACAAAAAGACAATAGTCTCTTGTGGTTGTAAGTTGTTGGAACATACAGAGATTGTTATAACAATCTTTTTATAGACATTTCAACAATTAATCATCTTTGTTTTTATTATTTATTTTTATTACCACATACAAATTGATCTCTTTAAACGAAAACTTCTTGTTTTAACTGTTGTATTTAGTTGAATCAATAAAATGTCAAAGTCGTCTTTAATTACAATAAATTAAAAATGACTCATATCATTTTATTAAAAAATCAATTGTTAATTCATTTTTTTGTGTATACCATGTTTATCAATACACTATTCATATAGCATTTTAAACGGTGTCTTAATGTTTTTAGGTCCAATTGTAATTTCATTATTATGTTGCTTGTGTTATATTTAAAGAATTTTACAATAAAGTTGGAAATAAAAACAACAATGTGTTGTTTATACCAAATTAAAAAATTTGCTGTCAATTTTTTATCTAATAAATTATATAACTTTTTTTGTTATCTTATTTTTTCAATTGTTCTAAATTGTCTTTTATAAAATACAAAATATCAAAAATGTTGTTTTTAATTATTATTTGTTTTTTTATCAACTTTTGAAACAAATAAAAAGTTTATTTACTTTTTATAGAATACTGTTCACACGTTTCAATATTAAGACAGATTTTACAAAGTGTGCTCATTTTTATCAATAAAAAAATAAATTGACATATTTCACTATTTTTTACAATGAAAAAAAAGATTTCATAAAAATGAAAAATTACTCTCACGGTTGCGCACACTATTTAAGAAGACAATTATTTTTATATAGATTTTGTTTCTAATTAAAACACGTTTAAAATCCTTTGAAACAGAATGTCCAAAAAATTAAGATAAGTCCCAAGTTAAGTGTTTTGACTAATACTCCTGTTTTTATAGATATTTTAAATTGTAATATAAAAAACAAAATGATAATTTGGGAAAAATCATTTTTTTGGACACTCTGTTTGAAATGAGATATAGTCGCATCAAATTAATTAAAGGATTTTCTTTGTAAAAAGTTTTTTTCTATAATAATAGCCAAAGACACAATGATTTAAAGTACATATATATAAAAGATATAAAAACAATTTAACAATAAAAAGTGATATAAATAATTAAAATATGTTTAAAAAACCTCTTCTATTTGTGATATTATTTAAAAATATAGTTAATTTAACCTAAAGATATAACATAAAAAATATCAAATACATTTATTACCTATCATGGTTAGACATGTGATTTTTTATTTTAATTAATAATCATATTTTTATTAAAAATAACAACTTCCTTAAATCTTTTGTCTAACCACGTACCTATAAAAATAGTCACTATTTAACAATTTAAAAAGTATAAAAAATGTTTTAGTATATTAACAAGAATTATAAAGAATAATTGAATCAAACCAACTTCAAAAAATTTGATAACCAATTTGTTACGAAAAAAATACCAATAACTAACTTTTAAAAAACAACCAAAACACATCTAATAATTAAAAGAATGACCTATTCAAATTCATGTATAATAATATTCTCACTGATATCATTGATATTCTTCATTATTTTAACATTTGACACCACTTCACATTTATCAAAAAACAAGATTAATAAGAAATACAACGTTTCTAAAGATGTTCCACATTACTTTTCTAATGGGAAAATAAATGTTGAAAATTTCAATTATTCAGGCATATGTCATGAAGTGTTCAAATACAAACCACACAACAAAAAAGATCTTTGGCTGTCTGCTGTTGGTTTTAAAGACATCAATTACTGGAGAAAAATAAGAGCCGACACAATACTCTCAATGGGACTCGCCAAATCATCAATACCACATGCCGACAAAGTCGTATTGTTACTTGAAGGTCTTGAAATTCCAGAGTTTTTCAAGATTTCTGATGCCAATGGATTTAAAGTTGTTAAAATGAAAATCACAACAAACGTGACAGGACAAGACGCGACAAGGCGGTTTATTGCATTTGAAGAATTTATGAGAGAAAATCGTCACAAATATGAGAGGGTGTTAGTCAGTGACCAACGAGATGTTTTTATATTTGCGGACTTCTTCTCCACTTTTAGTGAAGAACAAATCAACTTTGTTGCTGAGTGTAATTACGATCAAATAAATTGTATTGATTTCACAGAACGAGGAAATTTCAATGTGATGAATTACACATATGGAAAACGTGTTTCTGAAGAGTTCCGAAGCAACAAGTCGTTATTGGTCAACGTTGGCACTGTCTTTGGTGGGTCTGAAAAGGTGTACCAATATTTGAAGTTGTACAAAGACAACATTGATACAACTAAGTGGAAGAAATGGTTCTACGATCAGATTCTGCACAACCACATCTACTATTCTTATTACTACAATAGACCAGAAACTAACAGCACTCTTGAAAGGTGCACACAAAGATTCTGTTTTAGAGAAAGAGGAACAGCTACTTATGATGTGTCTAAAAAGAAGCTGTTTACAAGTGTGACGGGATGCTCACCTGTGTTGAGGCACAAATATCTGGCAAAAGGGTTTTCCATTGACAATGATGGGTATTCAACAAAAATAAAGGATGTTAAATGAATATTTAATTTATTTTAATTATAAATGTAATATAAACAATGTTTACACCAATTTATAAAATAACATTGAAAAAAATATTTTTTAAAAATCAAGATATTTTCAATAATTTTACGTTTTTGTGAATTACATTACAATACACAAAAACAAAAAGTTATTGTATCCCAATATAACATTTCAACATAAAACTTAATGTTTTAAGTGTTAACAAAAATGTTTATTTTAATATTAATTTTTAATTTACTTTTAAAAAATATAACACACAAATTTTTAATTGTTTTTAATAAATTATAAGAAGTTGAACAAAAAAAGTAAAGAAAACTTCAATTATTGGGCTTTTTTTACTCGTTGAAGTTGGTATTGGCTGCTTCGTTATCTGCTGCCTTAAACTGGGCATTTTCATTTGCAACGTTCACTACGTTTTTCATAGCGGAGCTAACCAATTGATAAGTCTTGAAAAGACCAATAGAGACGGCGATGAGAGCAACCACAAGTGCGACAACGACAGCAGCGACGGTAGTTGCAGCTGCAATGGCACCAGAGTTGTTGATTTCACCAGCAAGAATGCAGAGTACCTTTTCGTTCAGTTGTTGTGTCAAGTCGGACTGGTTCATCACCATACAGTTACCACATGCATCGAGTTGGTAATGTTCGGTTTCAGTATCTGCAAACATGACAAGTGAAGCTCCTCCATCAATATACGAACATTGGCAGTAGAAGCATCTGGCCTGGTTTGATGTCAGTGTTGGGAACTCTTCTGATACAATGCATTGTTTGTCTCTATATTCGACCTCTCCTGTTAATGGATTGCATTTTGCGTCTTCACACAAATTTCTTGGGATTGGTTCTGAGTTGTCATAAGTTTTGTTCCAGTAATGTTTACACTTTACTGTTCCTGCTTCCAAGCTTTCTTTATATGTTGGTGATCCACCTTCACAAGTCTCAACACATTCGTATCTGTAGCACAAATTATTCAATTTTACATTTGATTGTTCTCTGAAGTATTCAGTGTCCTCCAATGGATCATTTTTGTTAAATTCAATAAATTTGCAGTAAAACCCATTATTAGCATCACATGTAAAGGTTGGTCGTCTGCAACCATAGTCAACATTTTCCGCAGTTTGTGCACATACATTGTCGTCTGCAAATGAAGGACATCTGTTTTGATTTACACAGACGGTCGAGTCGCATGGCATCGAACGCATGACAATGTCAGTCTTATCATATATCTTTTGTCTTGTCTCTTCTAATAACTTTGTCGCATTATCACAAAGATTGTAAACGAATTTGCAGTTACCGTTCTCGAGTGCTTCAACAGAACAATTTTTTGGTTTGCATTTGAAATCGGGGTCGACTACACACTCATTTTCTAAACAAAGATATTGAACTCCATTTTGTTCCTTTGGACATTCATTCACAACTTGAAATTCTTTTTCTTCAACTTCACCACCACTTGGTTTGATAACACATTGTTTGCAATCACTTTTAGAAAATGTCCATTCACAGTACGCCTCCTTATCGGCTTCTGCCATAAATTCTTCTGATTGTGGATACCCGTAACCAAAGTTGAACGGATCAAATTTATCAGAGTAATGATACTTGTAATTGATTAAATCCATACAGTCACCAAACTTCTTAAAGATTTCACCAAAGAGATCTTCTTCTTGGCAATTGAGAGGGTAGCGCGGGAAACACTGGTTGTTTTTACAATCTTTGGGAATGCTGTATTTAATACTAACGCCACTCTCAGAAGTCCAAGTTGGCGTGACTGTTTTGTCAATACAGTTTGATTGATACTTGTTGTCAGTGCAGACAGCGCATTGTGGAATCGCTTTGACTGTGTAAGAGCATTTGGCAGTTATGTTGTCGTAAGTGTATGTATAAGCAGAGTCGTCCTGTCCACATTCAAGTGAGATACACTCTTTGCAGAATTTTTGTGGTTCAACAATCACAGAATCTATTTCATTTGGAAATATACACTTTCCATTAACACAAGAACCCGCAAATGATCCACAAGAACTTTTTGAGGAAGAACATGACTCGGTGTATTGCACTTTGTTGTTAACAAGTTTACATACACCACAATTAACAAAGAGCTCACTGTCAGTCTTAAGCTGTGTCAAAACACAAGCATTGTCCTTGCATGTATAACCCCACATATTTTTACATTTTTCTTTTGAATCGTCATTTGCATAAGCAACTTCTTGTTTACATTCAATTGGTACATACTCTACCTTTCCAGTTTTCTCATTGCATGTTGCTTTCATGCAATCTTTGTTTATCAAATCCTCCTTACATGTTGATGTAATACAGTGAGGATTGTCGGTTGTGTAGTCGCAGATTTGTGTTCCATCTTGGCAGTAATTTCCATTGGGGTTCTGGTCACATTCACATAAATTATTTGTATCTGCGTTGCATCTGCACTTTGACTCGGTGACAGACCCACCGCATTGGGAATATTTGTCGCAAGTTAATCTATTCTCACATTGACCCGTTTTTTCGTTGCACCTTGCCTCATAGCAATCCATTTCGACATACGGTATTGTTTTCACACAGACCTTCTTTTCGAGTGTGCAAGATAAGTCGGCACTGCACTTGTACTGCTGGCATTTTGACGTCTTTATTGGGCATTTTTCTTTTCCTTTTTGATCCTTAACACAGTAACCAGATTTGGTATCACACTTGTAAGTGTAACAATAACCGTCTGCTGCTGGTTGGTCATCAAGTTGGCAGTTATCTTTTAGGGCACATTTCGAAGTGACTTTGTTGTCTGGGCATGTTGCAGTCATACACGAAACTGGTGGTCGACATGATTCGTTATACCTTGAGTAAACACATCCTTCAAGGTCCTTGCATACACGGTCTCCTACACAATCAGCGGGACAGGAAGTCTTGGCTTTTGGTTTAGCTGGTGGCCAAGGCATGCATGTAGCTGTTTTTGTATCACAGTATGTATAGAAACAGGTGTTTTCACAACACATTGGACACGTGCATCTATTCTTTGCATCACAAAAACCATTACACTTGTTTTTATCACATCTTTGGGTCAAATTAGCTCTGATACCATCAAATGCTTCATTGATCATCTGTGGTATTTTTGAAGGTTCTGTAGTTTCATGGAAATGGTCTCCAAGCGACAAAAGTGTTGTCAATTTAGCTGTCATCGCAGGACCTTGTCTGTTTAGTGATACAACATGAACTGTCAATCCTGCATCATCAAAACTAGTTTTTGCGTTGAAAGCAGTGTTGATCCCTTCATCAGTTAACACAAAGATGGTCCCTCTCTGTATTGTACCAGATTTTACCTTTGGTGCCAAGTCTCTTTGTGCAGCAACAATGAGAGTGTCAACCTTACCCTTTGCTGGTTCAAAAGAAGACAAAAAAAGTCCGTTGATTTGTGCAAGTGGTTTTTTGATTGAAGCGTAAGCTTCTCCTTTTAAATAGTAAATGGTTACATCGTTGGTGACTGAAGAGAGTTGGATGTGATTATTAAATGCGTCTTGAGCCGACTTCAACACGCCTTTGTCTGAAATTCCCCAGACTATAACCATCTCTGATACTACATTATTTGGTGTAAAAGACTTCTTACACTTTGAAGTGGTGTTTGTCTGATAGTCTTCAATAAACTTTGAATCATATCCATTGAAACTTCTAAACGTGATCGACTTTCCTCCAATAAAATCAAATCTACAAATAGTGTAATCATTGTTCAGCACAGAATTTCTTTTCTTACTTAATATGATGTTGACAAGTGGGCTTTTAGCAGCATATTGATAACAATTCTGTCCATTTACATTTACTGGTATCATCTTATCATCAGAAGTGGGCACTCTGTCCCAATCAATTTCGAATTTTTGAATTGCATATCCATAGTCCTTTTGGCAAAAGTCTTGATCTGGATATTTGTCCAAGTCCGGATTTCTAGACAAGTCAATGTTGTTATCTTCGTTCATAGTATTTGTTACCCATATATTGTTTTCTTTTTGTGTCCAAACAAAGTGTCTCCATGGCTGCATCGCAAGGTAATAGAAGATGTCTACTCCATTATCAAAAGAATGTTGCCACATACCAGCATTCTTTCCTCTTCCAATTCTACCAATATCATAAATGTCGACATCGCCACTGAAATCGTTAAGAAGGTCAGCATTTGTTAAAAACAATAATAATGTTGAGAGAATAATAAACATGAATGATTAAATCGTTATAAAATTACTTTATATTCCTTACTGAAAAATATAGGGGTTTTCTAAAACTATTTTAACAAGTAAATCGATTATTCTTTTTTATTGTTATTGTTATTTGTTACGATTTAAGGTCCATTTGTACAAACAATAGTTTTGTGGTTTGAAAATACAGTATTTTTGGTTCCCCAAACAAAAGGGCGTTTCAAAGTGGTTTATTAAGTTTAAATTGACAACATTGAAACAAAAAATGATTAAAACTGTTATATTGAATAAACATGGTAAAACTTAATCATTTCTTGAGTTTATAACAATTAAGCTGAGTTTTTCAAACCAACATCAAGTTATGTTTATAGTATAATTTTTACTAAATATTTTATAAAAAAAATATTAACTAAATATACATACCAAAAAATATATATTTTATTAAAGAAAGTTATTTACATATTTTATTTTTTTATGTTTATTAAATAACAATTAAGTTTGTTTTCTTTTTTAAAACATAACATGGTTAATTTTTTATTATTTTATAATTAATTGAATTATTTTATTAGAATATTTCTAAAATGTCTAGAAGTGAATTTTATTAAATTTTTTCTAAAAAGAAAATCATTGAGTATAATTGTAATTATCTTTAAAATTTTTGAGGAGAAAGAAAACTATTTGGTCAGATAATTTATTATTATTTAAAAGTTATTAGAATACGAACAGTAATCAATTACATTATTTACCATTATCATAAATTAGAAAACCAAATGTTTTGTGTAAAATATGCCATATTGTAAACCAATTTGTTTTATTTTTTGATTATATTGTTTTCTACTCATTAAGAACATGTTATTAATTTGGTTTTTAATCATAAGAAAAACAACTAAAAATATTTAAAAGCTATATGTGTATTACTAAACTGTTTAGTACTTTAATAATACAAAACAATTTTTTATAACTATTTTTGTTGATTGAATGGAAATATTGGTTTCAGATAAAATTTAATTATTTTCAACAAAGTCTGCCAACCAATCTTGTTATAAAAAAAATTAAAACAATAAAATGGTAAATTACATTATTATTTTTATAAAACGCAAATGAAATGACAAAACACAATTATTTGTACCATATAAATTGTAAAATAAAATGAAACAACAATTATATTAAAACAAAGATGTTTATTTTTTCGTTGCAATAAAATAATCAATAATTTTAAAACAAAAAAACTTTTCAATGTTTTATTGATACTTGTTTTTGGCCACTATATTATATTTATTTAAAAATCATCAAAATTTAAAAGATGCAATTTCAATGAGGCAAGAATAAAGTTGTAAATCAGTTTCCAAGTTTTTTAAAGTACTCACCCAAAACATATTTTAATATTATAACCATTAATACAGTTATTAAGCAAATTGTTTCTTATTTTTGATGTGATAAAATTAATTTCCAAACCATAAAAAAAGTCGTTTTAAATAGCCGAATCACTTTAGTAAATTGTCATTTTCACAAAAGTTAAGTTACGAAGAAAAACATGTCATTTTGATGATTGGAGTTGTGTTCTATTCTGTTTTTAATAACCAAAAGAGATAAGGAGTTTGAATGAAAATATAAACTTTTCAAAATAATTTTGCTTTGTAAAATTGTAAAAAAAAAGTTGTTCCAATTTATTAAAAAATGAAACTGAAATATTCAAATGTTTTTAACCTTATTTGCAATACTTTTGGTAAACGCAGATCCCTTTTTAAAGGTAGGAGATAAGGAACCCAGAGAGACTCACCAAAATTGTAAAAAATTTACAAGAATACTTGATAAAGATGGAAATCCCACTAACACAATCAATTGTATTGAGTGTGAGAATAGTTATTTCAAACTTGAAGATGGAAAATGTGTTTATGATTCAACAAATTGTAATGTTACTGATCCCTATGTGTATTTGAGTAGCAATGAATGCAAATTTTGTGATTATGGGTGCAACAGTTGTGATAAATCAGGTACTTGTACTTGTTCTTTTAACAGTGATGTTGACACATGCAAGCAATGTGTGAGTACCTTTGATTCGGGAAGTGGAACAAAAACAAAGAAATGCAAGTATTGTGGACAAGGACTTGCAACAAATGTAAATATGGATGCATGCGAAGCTGCTCCAAATGGAAATGAAGTTTTTGATAAAACAAATTGTGCTCTTTCTGGAATAAAAGAAGGCAAACAAGTTTGTTTGAAATGCTTTGGTAACAAGACAATAGATAGTGATAAACTCCATTGTCAATACGAACTAAAGGTGATTGAAGGATGTATTAGACAGAATGGCGACAACTGTTTGAAGTGTGATGTTGGGTATTATCTATCATCTAAAACATGTGTTAAAAAAGACGAAAACTGTAATATACTCAAAGAAACGTCTAATGATGTAATTTGCACTTCTTGTAGAGAAGGTTATTATTTTAATGATAAAGGAAAATGTACAATGTGTGAAGTGAGCGGAGAAGAAAATAAACAATACGATAGTTTGTGCGAATTGTACGATGCCAATAAATGTATCCAATGTAGCATGCGATGTAAAGTAGTGGGAAGTAAATGTGTTTCTAATCACTGTGTTGAATTTAAATCTGATGGAAAATGTGGGATTTGCGAAGATGGATATTTTGCACTTAATGGCGAATGTAATCTATTTGCAAATGGTGGGTTAGAGATGTCTTCTGGAAGCCCAACTTGCAAGGCTGGATATTATCTTGATTATAATATAGAAACAAAAGTTTATTCGTGCAAAAAATGCAAAGGACATTTTATGGATTGTTTAACTGAGGACACACCAATGCCTGGAAGTTCTTTGTATGATAACTGGAAGTCTACCAAAGCAGAACCATGTGAAGATGAAAATTGCGCCCAATGTGCTGATGATGGTGTAACTTGTTACAAATGCGCTTTTAACAATGGAAGCCCAAGTGGTGTTTTATTAAACGGAAAATGCATTTTAACTCCAACCGACAATATTTTAGAAATTGTTGGTACTTATGACACAACTTATAAATTCTGTAAGTACAAAGGAGTCAATTCTTTCTTTGAAGAGTTGGTACCTGCATATAATGAAACTACCAACCCTGGAAGTAAATGCAATCCGATACTGAGAAGAAGTTACATGTACAAAACACAAACCACTGGTAAAACTGAAATAGAGTGCGCGAAAAGCAATAGAGACGTGACCAAAAATTGTATGTGTAAAAATGGATATTATCAAACAAATGCCTCAACGTTTACAGATTGTACAAAAATGTCTAACCTTGAAGGATGTATTGAAAGTGCAAATGGTAAACATTGCACACTCTGTGCAACTGGAGCAAAATACACATCAGAAGGAAAATGTGTCTGTCCAAAGGGAACTTATTTGAAAGATGACAAATGTGAAAGGTGCCCAGAGAAATGCGCAACTTGTGTCTTGGAAACTGGTAAAACTGAAGTGACTTGTAAGACATGTCAACCAGAACCTTATGAAGGACAAGGAAGAGATCCAGCAAATAAATGTGAATGTAAAACAAACTTTGTAACTGAAGCTAATAAGATAGATGTCTGTGTCGAGAAAATTGAAGGATGTTCAACAGAAAATAAATACATTGTTCAAAACAAACAAATCAATTGTTTGGAATGTGATAAAGAACATATGGCAATTGGATACGGACTAACACAGTGTTCGCAATGTGTTGATGGATATTATTTGGACGAAGCAAAAGATTGTAAAGTGTGCGACCATGGAATTGGGTGTTTAACATGTGATAAAACTGCTTGCACTCAATGTAAAGATGGCAATGCTATTTTAGGACCCACTTCAAACCCAACGAAATATTGTACTACCTGCAAAGAAGGGTACACATTTAATTCAACTGATGGAACATGTGCAAGATGTCCAAGTGTTTGCAATGGTTGTGAAATTAAAGATGAAAAAATAGAATGTCTGGGTTGTAAGAATGGCAAACAGATACCAAACTGTGAATGTGAAAATGGTGTCTACCTTGATCCAAATACCAATACATGTGTTGCTTGCCCCAATGATCGAAAGGTTTGCAAAGGCAATTGTGACTATGGAAACGGCATTTACGTCCATTGTACCGAGTGTGTTGATGTCTTGAGAGAACCAACAACAAATTGTACCACATGCAAAGACACTAACAGGTTTTTAGACTCCAATGGCAATTGTGAACAATGCGCTGAAAATTGCAATGTTTGTACTGATAAAGAGCATTGCACTGTTTGTGATCCAGCGACTTTTAGAACTGGTTTTACATGTGAAAAGTGTGTCAAAGGGTATTACTTGGACACTGATAAATGTAAACAATGTGACAGTAAATGTGAGAATTGTACAAGTGCAACGGACTGTGAAAAATGCATTGATGTAAACCGCAAGCCGGTTCCAGGGAAGATGTGCGAAGGATGTAATGATGGGTATTATCTAAGTGGAGAAAGCTGTTTGACGTGTTCGAAGAATTGCAAAGTATGTGAAGACCAAACGAAGTGCGTTAAATGTGCTGTTGAAAATTTCTTTAAGGAAACTCCTGTTGATGGAACATGTGTGTGCATTGAAGGATATGTTTACGACACAAAAACTCAGACTTGCGATCCATGTAAAGACAAATTGAATGAATTCTGTTCTTCGTGTAGTACAGAAAAATGCTCTGTGTGTAATGCAGAGTATTTTGAACCTAAAGGAGGCGAATGTGTATGCAAAGAAGGTTATTACACGACATCATGGGGAGCTTGTGTGCCTTGTGACAGACATATCAGTGGATGCGTACTTTGTGATGGAAAAGACTCATGCAGTAAATGCAAAGATGGGTATACACTTAATAAAACTTCGGGAAAGTGTAATGGAGCAATTAAAATGGTAATTATTATGGTGACTATTGCTCTTGCACTTTTGTTCTAAAAACAAAGTTTTATTTTGATGTTATTTTTATCAGAAATTATTTTAAAAAACAATAACAAGGTTCTTTATTTTGAAAGTTCAATCTATAACAACACAACAATTATCGCAATATGATTCTTATGTGTTTTTACACTTTTAATTTATTAAGTAATAAGCAATTATAATAAATTATTTGTGGTTTTTTCTGTCAATGCCATTGCTTTAGTAGTGATACTATACCATCAAGTGTGACACTAATTTATTATCAGTGATATGTTTCTGATATACAAATTATAATTGTTTTATTTTATTTTATCAACCATGCTAATAATATCGTTTAGATATTTTAAAAAAGTGAATTATTCAATTAACATTTTAATAAATTATAGAATACAAAATTAATAAAATAATTATAAATGGTTCCTTTTGAAAAAAAAGTGTAGAAATTATTTTTAGATAATAAATTGTTGTTAAATTATCATTAGTTTTTCAATATTTTTGTTATAGTTTCACATTTAATTTTATATTTTATATTTGGAGCAGGGCTGCAAACCGGATTCAACTGGTGGCTAACCCGTCTTAATTTTTAAATATTTTCAGTCAGAATTTGTGTTTAGAACTATTATTTTTAATTCGTTGAATAAATTAATTAGGATTTGTCAGCCAGTAGTGATAAAAAAATGGCTAGCCGCAAAATCTTCCAAACTATACACATTCTAAAATGATGGTAAAAAAGAAAACCATTTAAATAATGAGGAATAGAAAGTATAGTTTCATGTAGTTTTGAAAAGCCATAACAATTTTTCATGTTTAGGGTGCGCAATCGCAAGAGTAAAAAATTCTAAAGTGGTAGAAAGACTCTTTTGTAATAATAACAAAGTTGATATTGCTCAAATTTTTTATATTTACTGAAAATGGTAAAAAAGAGACAAAATTCTTCTGTTTTCCGAAACGTGTACACAATTCACAATTAAAAAAACAGAAACTCCTTTTTCGAACCAAAAATGCAAAATATTTAAAAGATAAAAAAGAAATAACGGTTTTGTCAAATTTGAACAATTGAAAGTAAACTATAAAGAACTTGATTATTTAAATCAACACTTAACTTTTTTTTTCAAAAAAACTAAAACCTTTTAACAGATGGCAAAAAACAATTAGTGTCAACTAAAAAACTAATTAAAAATTAAATAAATTAAACGTTTATTTAATTAAAATTATATTAATCCCCAAAACAAAACTTGTATTTAAAAAATCAATAAAAACACATGCAAAAATTCAAAAAAAAGTTTCTTTTGTTTAGAAGTATTTTTAAAAAGATTGTAAGAAGTGTTCCGAACATCGCAATTTCAACGCGAGATGTTCAAATTGTAAGTAAAAAAGTAAAGTCCAAATTATATCATAAATACCTCAATTTTCAATGAACAACGTCCTCTGTGTGAACCCACTTTTATTCACTTCACCCCGAAAACATCGATGAAAATGACATAGACGATTTTGAAGTATTAAAAAATTACTCTCCAAAAAGTGTCGAGCTCAACACACTTTTGTTAAAATTTTTCATTACTGGAAATATTTTTTGGCGACAGGTAACAAATCCATTCTTGGTCGAGTTGATCAAGCTCCTTGACCCCAATGTGAAGCTGTGTGGAACCACCACATTTAGAACTTCATTGCTAAACAAAGTCTACAACGACAAACTGAAAAGTTTTATATCCGAAGCCAGAGAAAAAACCAACTTTAGTTTTTTTTTACAATTTATCGAATTATATTTCTTCCTTTTTTTAAGTTGAGACTTGCTAAAAATAATCTCAGCTTTAAAAAACAAGATAATACCTTTTATTTTCAAAGTTATTCCTTTTTCCCTTTTTTACAATTAAATTTTATATTTTTGTGGTAAAAGAATAAAGTTTTTTGGAGGTTTGTAAAAAAAGATGAAGAAATCGGTATTTTTTCTTTTTGGTGATGAAAATGATTTTGAAATTAAAAATGCAAATAATAATAAAAACTGGTTTTTTTCTTTTTGTTGATGATTTTTGATTTTTTGGTCGAAATGGCATATCTCAAAAAGGAACTACAAGTTCCATGGTATTTGCAGATTGCGATTATTGAAAAATAATGATTGTCTTATGCAAATAGATTTTTAATGTAAAAAACGGGCATTTTGGGCAATATTGGTTTGCGGTTGCGCACCCTATTCATGTTTTTTAATAGTTTTAAAACATAGTAAATTAAATTAATGGTAATAGTTTGTCGTTTATGTCAAACAAAAAATACTTAAGTAAATTATAGTAATAAATGATTATTTATTCAGAAAAGAAAAACACAAAAAACAAAAAGACAAAAAACAATATGTTATACCATTTTATTATTATGTTTATAAAAAAGTCAATTTTTGTAAAATTGTAATGTATCACAACCATCTTTATTTTGAATAATTTTTATAACATAAATATGAACATTTAATTGTTTGATGTGTTGTGTTTTCATCAACAGACATTACTTGTTTTTTTATGTAATCATAACAACTAAATTCTTGAAGTGTTTTAATTAGATATTCTACAAAATGATGTACTACTGATAAAAGCAAGTATATTGTTATCTGACATGTACTCAAAATACATGTTCAAATAGATTACCCAAATCTAACACTTTTTGAATTTAAATAAAAAAGAAAATGTTTATAATATTTAACACCGACAATTTGTTTTAGATAATAATTGATAATTCATAGTGTAACATAAAACACAACAATTCAACGACCATTTAAATATGTTTGGAAAAGGATTATACACACAACTAATTATAAATAATATGTATTATTTAAAATGACATAAATTGTTTGTGTGAGTCCAAACAAATTGTTTAATTTTGTACAAGTTGATTCAAAGTTGTTAACAACTTGTATTTAATTTTGAATAAAAAACTATTATCATGTTTTCATTGTCAAATGTGCTGTTTAGAACACAACGAAATTAACATAAAAATAAATATATTTATATTGTATTGTCCAACCTTGTAATGTCAATTTATATTTTTTAATTTTCATTCAATGAAACAACAAACTGTCATATAAATTAATTTGTGTCAAGATTTTTAATCACTTTATTTTATATTTTAGTTTTAATAATGCTAATATTTGAAATAAAAAATAAATAAAAACTTTTTTTTGTGTTTTATTTGATACACTGATTCGTGTTTAATAAATACAATAAAACAGTGATTACTTTAAGGTTTGAACATGTTAAATTATATATCGTGTTCTAACACAGCATGCAATGACAACGTTTTTATTTTACTTCAATCCAATGACATTTTCCTATTATTTATTTATGCCATTCAATCAAAATTTTTTCTCAAAAACTTATTTGTTTTTATTTTCAATAGTTTTTGGTTTTAATATTTAAATTTTTCTTATTTGTTTTTTCTGGTTATTATTTGTTTTTCAAAACACTTTTGGTCTTATTATTTGAAGGACGGAATAAAGTGCAGTTTTGAGCATATTATTCAAAAACATTCCCAAAACAGCATATTTTTTATTTTTTATGATTATTTTCCTTAAATTGAGCAAAATAATTCTTTTGTGAATAGGATTTTTTATTTTATCCAAAAAGATAAAATGCCATTATTTCTTTTTCAAAAAACGATTATTTAATTGAGGTTTGCAGCCCTTATTTGGAGAAATATAGGTGTTTTTTGATTACAATTATTATTTATTAGAGTTACTAATAAATGATAAATAATAAATAATTAGTAATTAGTTATAATGCAAGTTAAAAATATATGTTTTTTTTTGTTGGAAGTTTGATATTATGATATTTTAAATTTTTGAATAATTAAAATTCGTTAATATTTATCAAGTAAGAATGTAAAAAAATATTAAATAAAAATTATAATTGAACAAAAAAGTTTAAAAAACTAACACAATAAAAAATAAAAAAGACATGAAATACAGCATAACAGCTTCTCTGTGTTCATTAAACGATCTTTCGAAAATTTTTCAGCTTTGGGGGTTGATTTAATACGCCTCGTCAATCTAACAAAGACATCTCCACAAGAGATCAAGAAGCTTATTCCACACCCAATATTTCAAAAATGCGGTGTGGAATTGTACAAACAAGATGACGCCATCAACCTTAGATTCTAATTTAAGGCGTCTTTAAATCTGGGATAGTTGTTACATTGAGTGTTGCTTTATTTTCAACAAGTTTGATTTTCAAAACTTGTTTTCATTCGGGAAATATCACAATGACACTCTGAACGCCATAATAAATATACGCCTCCATTTAATTCTTTGCTGTCTCAATTAATTCTTCCTTTAATCGTAATTAAATCGCGTTTTCAAGTTTTTGTTATCGAGTGGGAGTGACACCAAAAGGAGTAATATTTTATTTCTAAATTGTATCTTGAATTTATACACCTGTTTGTTGGCAGCAACATAAAAATTGACTTCAGTCTCATTTCCACCTTCTCTTTCACAAATTCGCCAAACTTGTCTGTCATACAAGAGAAGAGCAACGTATTTTAATTCCCACAAAACTGCTTAACAACTTTTTGAACAGAGTCTTTGAAGACATCTTTCCCCAAACACACTGATGTTTTCCACTCAACTTCTTCCTCAAACACTTCATGCTGTCGTTATGTGCAAAGAATACTCCTGACATGTTGGTGGGAATAAGCGAAATTTGTTTCACTCTGGTTTAATTCCCTTTTGGTTGTTTTCTCAATGTCAGTGCGGCAAGTTTGGAAATTTTCTTGTTGATCTCCAAAAAGTAGTACTTTGGTTTGTTGTAATGTAACCCAAGATTTGACGCTTCTCCAACTTCTTGCATTATTCTGACTGCTGTGAGTCCATCAACCAGACATTGGGATATCTTGACAACCAACTGTTTGCTACATTCGGACTCGGGACTGGGGGATTCGGGGACACGGACACAGGGACACTGGAGCCTTTTGCCGACTTGAATCCAAGCCGGCACCTATTTGATAATATATTGTTTTGTTGGATTGATATTATATGTGGT